TGCCTCCAACTCAGTGACATTCAACATAATAAAACCTTGCAAGATCCTCTGCCATCCTCTCAAACTCTGCTGTGTTTAGTTAAGTCCACTACGCTGGTCACTGTATCAGTCACCTCACTGAGGGTCTTCTTTTTGGGGGGATAACTTGTACTTCCTTTCTGTTTTGCTGTTGTTGTTATTGTCATTGTTGTTATGTACTATCAAGTGAGATCTGATTGGCACAGGAGGAGACTGCCCCTTCTTCTATAGAAAAGCATCCGGTGGATTCGAACCACGTACCTCCGGGATTGCAGAGTCACTTCTTGCCACACAAGGAGCTCCCTCGGGTCTAAAATTTCTTGATCACTTACCCAAAGCATATGACATAATGAGATAATATCATCCTTGCTGCTAGGAGCATTCTAGCTGAACTTCTTGAAAGGCAGATTTGGTTTTACTCCTGGAAGTCCATGGAATAGCCAAGACTCTCTGCCAGCACCAAGATTCAAAGGTACCCATTTGCTTCAATCTTCCTGATTCCTTGTCTAACTTTAAGAGGCAAGGCACCCTGGTGGTACAGCTTAAAAACGTGTTCTGCTTCTAACTAGAGGCTGGCTGTTTAAACCCATCAACTGATTCAAGGGGACTGGATAGCTTGTAACAATGTAAATAAGGTGACAGCAACCCTTGTGGGGATTGTTGTTGTTCAGTATTGTCAAGTCAACTATAACTCAGAGTGGTCCTATGAGCAGTGGGCCTGAACCCTGTCCTCTCCTGGGCTGGTCTCACCATCTCTGTTACTTGAGCCCACTACTAGTTACTGTGTCAAACCATCTCATTGATGGTCTTGCCTTCCTTTATTGACTGTCTAACTTTGCAAATATGATGTCGTTTTCCAAGGACTGGCCCCTCCTAACAAAATGTCCAAAGTATGTGAGACAAAGTTTCACTGTCTTTTCCTCTGCGGAGCACCCTGGGTGCACTTTCTTCAGGAAAGACCTGTTTATCCTTTGGCAATCCCCAGGACATTCAGGACTTTTCTCCAACTTCAAAACACAAAGGTTAAAAAAAAACACACAAAGGTTTGTCTTCCCAGTTGCCAGAGGAGGGCTAACTCATGGTCTCAAGCCTTTGAAGTCCCCATAAGAAAGTCTATTTGTGATTTATTGACTTTGCAAAGGCATTTGACTGCATGGATCATAACAAACCATGGCTAACATTGAGAAGAATGAGAACCTCAGAACCCTTAGTTATACTCTTATGAAATCTATACTTAGACCAAGAAGTTGTCCAAGCAAAGCAGGGGAACACTGCATGGTTTAAAATCAGGAGAGCTGTATGTCAGAGTTATATCCTCTCTCCATAAGATTTCAATCTGCATGCTGAGCAAATCAATCATGAAGTCTGACTTTATGAAGAAGAATGTGGCATCAGGATCAGAAGAAGACTTATCAACAACCTGCCTTATGCAGATGATACAACCTTGTTTGCTGAAAGTGAAAAGGTCTTGAAACACTTGCTGCAGATCAAAGACTACAGCCTTCAGTACGGATATTTCAACATCAAGGGAGGGGGGCGTAAAATTCTCACCACTGGGCCACTAAGTAACATCATGGATAGATGGAGAAAAGATTTATATTGTCAATTATTTTATTTTAACTTAGATCCACAATCAACACTCTTGGTACCAATAGCCAGAAGATCAGGAGAAATATTGCACTGGGAAAGTCCATGGTCAAGGACCTCTCCAAAATACTGAGGAGCAATGATGTCAGTTTGAAAACTAAAGAGTGCCTGACTCAGGCCATGGTCTTTTCAATCACTTGCCAAATACCTGAGAGCTAGACAATGAATAAGGATGACAGAATTGATGCCTCTGAACTGTGGTGTGGGAGAAGAGTTCTGAATATCCCATGGACGGCCAAAAGAACAGGAATGTCTCAGAAAAAGTGCACACAGAGCGCTCCTTGGAGGCAAGGATAGCAAAGTTTCGTCTCTCATACTTTGGGCATGTTGCTAGGAGAGGCTACTCCTTGGAAAGGGACATCAAGGTTGGAAAGGTCAGCAAAAGGGAGGAAGACCCTCAATGAGATGGACTGATACACTGACGGCAGCAATGGGCTCAAGCATCCCAGAGAGGATGAGGATGGCAAAGAATATGACAAAGTTCAAGCCTGTTGTTCAAACAGTCACTATGAGTCGTACTTAACTCAGCAGCACCACCAACAAATAATCACATCCAATTAAAGAAAAATTGAGAAGACTTTGTACTGCTAGGGTACAATTTTTTTTCAAGTCATATAGTCCCAAGGGCAGAATACTTCATGTATCTTTTCTGTAAAAACAACCCCAAAACCAGACAAGATAGTTGACAAAAGCGAGGAAGACCTTCAATAAGATGGATTGACACAGTGACTGTCACAGTGGGATCAAGTATAGCAAAGACAATGAGGATGGCACAGGGTGGGGCAGCATTCAGATCTGTTGTTCTTAGGGTCTCTAGAAGCTAAAGTTGGCGACACCTAACCACAACAGATTTGAACCAGAGAGGCCCTCGATCCTCAGAACAACTTACTATACAAGACAGAAAGGGCAGCATTTATCCAGGGATAATACTCAAGAGACAGGAAGGGAGAGAAAAGGAGGAATGGAAGTGTGAACCACAAGGATGAAGCAGGGAGAGTGCTGTCACAAGGTGGGACTGTAATCAGTGTCAGAGAACAACACCAAATGTGGTGGCATGGAACAGCAATCTGCCTGGAAAACCTTCATTCAAATCATGATAAAAACTTAAAAGGGGAACACTAAGATTTTACTTGCACGTTTTGAAAAAAAAAAACACAAACCTACTGGAAGGATGCACAAGTAATTAATAAGTGATGAACTTGGAGGGATTTGAGGAGGGGGTGGATGGGGACAGAACTAGAGGAGCGATTTTTTTTCATGTACACCCTTTGTAGCGCCTTGATTTTCAGAACATGTAAATGGTTTTTTTAACCTACTGGAATATAATTTTTTTAAAAAAAAAAGTCAGGCCATGTCATTTCTCTGTTGAAAACACTGATAAAAGAATTTCTAGATGACTCTTTTATTATTATTATTATTATTATTATTATTATTATTATTATTATGTGTGTACCATCAAATCTGATCTGACTGTTACAGGAGGAGATTGTCCCGCCTTCTCCAGCAGAGCATCTGGTGGATTTGGACCACGCTCCTTCTGGGATTGCAGTGCAGCTTCTTGCCATTAGGACACCAGAACTTGCCTCTAGCTGACTCTTATACCCAAAGTCTTTACAATCTTTTCAAAGTCCTCCCCCAAAGGCCCTGTCCTTCTTCTGTCACACTGGCCTCCTTACTATTTATGAACTAGGGTAGCATGTTCCTGCCTCAGGACCCTTGCACTTGCTGATCCTTCTGCTTGGGGTGATTTGTTCCCAGATGTTTGTACAACTGGTTCTCTCACTTGCTTGAGATTTCAGTTTCTTGGACAGACCTTCCTTGACCCCTACCCTCACTTCCTAGGACAACGTGTCTCCTGCTTTTCTCCTAGCATAATCCCAGCACCAGGTTGGTGCTTAATATATGTGTTGAGTGAAAGAATAAATGAAGGTGTTCCCTAAAGTGGTCTTTGTCCATCTGCATATCATGTATTGGCCACTGAGGGCAGTGGAGCCCCCAGTCCCTTGAAGGGTCAAGGACACACACTCTAAAGAATGCTTCCCTGGGACCTGGGATCTGGCCCTGACCCAAGGAAGCACTTTGTGTTCCTGGAGTGAAAATCCAGTCATGTGATTCATAAATGGTCAAGAGCCTGCCTGCTTCCCCAACCCTGCTGACCAACCGATGGGCTTTTCTTTCCTGTAACACCGCGTGGCAAAGAAAAAGAAGGGAAGTGTGGGTGAAGCTAGACACAGCAGCCACTCAGGAAACAGTACTTGGGGTGCTGGGCAAGCCTAGCAGGAAGGAGTCTTACCTCTCTCCCTTGCTCCCTTCAGGTGCCTCTGGTTCTTCCAGGTGCCTCCCATTTGACCATCTTGTAGAGAACGTCTGAGAGCCATTAGTCTATTTTGTAGTTGAGTTAAAAAAAAAATCCTGCCCAGTCATCAACCTTAGGAGCTTTGAGAACGCGCTGGCTGAGGCCTAGTTCCTTCTCCATAAAGGGCCTACCCTCACTCTCTCATTGAAAAAGGACGTACTGGGAGCCAGACTCGGATCCAGAGGAGGGTTCTGCTGTAAACCAAGCAAGTGTCTGCCCTCACAAGAGCATCTGCTGGCGGGGGCACACGAACCTGCAAACTCATTGCCCGACAAGGCAAGTGTTGTGAAGACCACACTGGGTGATGTCACAGTGACGGGAGGAGGGGGCCCGCTTTGAGCGAGGCGGTCAGACTTTGTAGAGGAAGCAGCATTACTGGGCGTGAGGAGTGGAGAAGCGCTGCTCGGGCTAGCTCGGATTGCGCCTGGGAGATACTAAGCGCTCCGCCGATGTTACTGTGGCTCTTGCTGTTTCCATCAGTTTATTGCCCATCCCCTGGGGAGGAGGCGAGGCCCCCTCTCTGCACAGTGCACAGCAGGCACGTAGCGCGCGCACCACGGCTCAGGGGACCCCTGCACACAGTAGGGCTGGATAAACCGGCGGATGTGCATCAGGCCCCCGCTGGAGGAGCGTGTAGGGATCACCAAGCGCTAGGTCCGGGGCCCCGGCCACCCGCCCTCCACTCGCGTCCCTGCACACAGTAGGTGCGTAACAACGCACGCTGGCCAAATGCCCGGTTCCGGGCCTGGTGGCGCATGACGTCGGCCCACTGCACAGGGCGGTAAACCGAGGCCCGAGGCGGGCGGAGCTGAGTCTGGGTTTCCGCCGGGTCGGAGCCGGGGCGGAGCCAGGCGGGTGGGGACGCGCCGCCGCCCCGAGCTTCCGCGCCCAGCTGCGCCCAGCTGCGGCTCAGCCCCCTGAGCGCCGCGGTTGGCTGCGGCTCGGCGGCCGCCGATTGGCTAGCGCGGCCCCGGCGCGGGCCCCGATTGGCTGTGACGCGCAGCCGGGCGAGGCCCCCGCGGCGCCACCGCCGCGCCCGGCGCTGGGCGGTCATTGGGCGGCGTGATCTCGCCGCGGTTCCGCGGCCCTGCCGCTGCCGCCGCCGCCGCCAGCAGAGCGCACCGGGCGGGCCAGGCGAGTGGCCATGGCGGGCGCCGAGGACGGGCCGTGCCAGCAGCCGGAGCTGGATGAGGATGAAGTGGCGGCTTGCCGGCGCTGGGGCGCGCAACATGCCGGGGCCCGCGAACTGGCTGCGCTCTACTCTCCAGGTAGGACATCCGTGCGCCCCTCTGGGCCTGCCGTCACCAGCACGCGCTGCAGATTGCTGCCTGGGTCCCCCGGATCGGAATCCCGGTCTCAGGCGCAGATGTGGACCTCCAGCCTTCATTTCTAATTTGCAAGTAGCGTTCAGGTCTGGAGACCCCACCCAAGCCCCTTTCAAGCCCTAGGTAGAACCCCCGCCCCGGGGCTCCCCGGCTGCAAAGAGCAAAGAGATGTAAGAACTACCAGACCAGCGCCCTGAGCCACAAACAGCTCCCGTCCCGTCCCCGATCTGGGATCCTCGCTTCGGGATCGGGATGCAAAAATCATCCCTAGTTTTAGGGAATCCGACCTCAAGGCAGGATCCAAACTGGACGCAGCCCCCCGACTATAAAAGCATTCTTCCTGGTCCCCTATAAGTCATACCCCATCCGAGATTCCCAGATGCAGAATCCACATTTCGCACCCAGCTGCACCCTAGCCAGGCCCTTGGACTACATACATTAAACAACACACATACACAATCTGGGAACGCTTATCACCTAGCTACATGAACCCTAAACTTAGGAACCCCCAGAATTGCAGTGTCCCAGAACCCTTCTCAAATAAGTCTTTGAATCTAAGAACCATTCTAGTTAGAACCTCAGAGCAGAACTACAGATTGCTCTTTCTCCCCATCCTTATCCAGCCCCCCACTACCTCGGGGTGGCACCTGTCAGCCTTCACCATGGACCCCCTTGGGGGTGGAGGAACCACAGCCTCCGATTCCTTCCACACACAAGTCGCAGCTCCGACACCACCACCACCACCACCACCACCCCCATCAGGGCTGGGGAGATGGAATCTCACACTCCAGAAACCAGGAAAAATTTTGAGACTCTTGAACCAGCCTCTGCTTTCAAGGCCCCAGGCTTCTTTCCAGGCTGCCCACCCTTCATGCTCCAGCAAGCACCAGCTCTCCCACCCCCTTGCCGATTCCGACTAAACTGCAGAATCCCTGTGTCCAGCAGTCTGGGTATCCCCAGGGGTTAAGCAAGTGCCTTTGAGGACTCCAGGGTCAGGTGACTGGGAACTGGGACTGGTGACTGGGAGGCCCCTTTGCCTGGGTGCCAGCCATCAGGCTGAGTTTTGTTTGCTTACCATTCTGACATCTTTGCTCTGCTGCAATTCAGTCACCAGGCAGCCCTTGCCTGGGATGGGCACGGGCGGCCCTGCCTGGGCCTGCCAGCCTTTGACTGCAATACTGGTGGCACAGCCTTGAGCTGTTTGCTTTGGTTTGAGTCTCTGTCAGAAGGCCCTTGATGGCCAGTGGCCTTCCTGGCCTTGTTCTCTGCCACAGTGTGAGCAGGCTTGGGTACTTGCCTTGTGCTGCCACCGTTTCTTCTACCCATTTCCAGATCGGCTAGTCTGTGAGCTTAAACCAGCCTGTTTTCCGCAGAGCAGGCTGGTTAACCTTGTAGTGGGCAACCTAGCTGTGTGGCCTCAGCCAAGCCACTTCTCTCTGAACCTCAGTTTCCTTCCCTCTAAAATGGATATAACTAAAGTTTATCTGCTTCTTAGTGTTGTTTTGAAGGGGGGAAGAGATTGTTCACTTGGGTGCAGTACCTGGCAGACAGGGGGTGCTCCTTTTGTTAACTCAAATGTCTGGCCTTGGCTCTTGGGCTCACAGCAAGCTGCTTCTTCTCCGTGTCCCTGAGACTCTCCCCTGGGAATTTTGGGGAAGAATTCAAAGGCTTCTCTGTTTTGTTTCCAGCTCTGTCCACCTAGTCAATGCTGCTTGCTTTCTTCTAGCCCAGAAAATCACGGGGCATTCCCAGTCTCCCTGAGAGGCCCCTGTCTCCACACGCCACCCTGATCACATCTCTGCCTGGCTCTGGCTTCCATCGATGCGACTCACTCTATGAAGAGTAGGGACCCTCTGGTACCCAGACTGGGCAGTGGGGTCTTATCTGAGACAAAGGGGTAGATAGGCACCGGCCTGACTGGTTTCTCCAAATTCCTTTCCATTGACATCACTTGTCCGCTTCTGTCCACTGGGTATATGACCTTAGGGAAGTACCTTTACCTCTCTGCTCTGTAAAATGAGGGACCAGCTTCAGTGCACCTCAAGCACCCATGCTCCAGGCCCTCTGCTAGACACTGGGGCAAAGTGGTGGACAAGGCAGAACCAATAGGACTGCATTTTAGTAAGAAGGCCAGCAACAAGCCCCATAAATAACAAGCAAAGGATCTTGCAGGTCAGACGGTGGGAGGCACTGTGGAGCATGAATACAGCAGGAAGAGGGGACAGAAAAGGACCGGAGGTGATCCTCTAGAGGGGGGAACAGGGTAAACCCACTGAGCAGGTGACCCGTGACCTGAAGGCAGTTGCTGTGAGGCTATTTCAAGCAGGGTTGTTCTAGACACAGAGGAACAGCAAGTGCAAAGGTCCTGAGGTCAGACCAGCCCGGGTGTGTGTGAAGACAGCAAGGAGGCCTCTGGGCTGAGGAGCGTAGGAGAAGTTTCTGGGTTCCAGGACTGAATTACTGAGATTCCTGGGACCAGGGGCAGTTTGGCATCACTGCAATTGACAGCAATACCAGCAGCACTTTATGTTTTATATTTATCAAGCACTGGCTTTACACTGGGCACTTTCTAGTGTGTTTGTCATCCTTCTGCCAGCTTTGCGAGGAGGCCTTAGAGGGCACAAACTGTTAGTCATTCAGCAACCGGATGAAAGGCAGGGTTCTCACTCACGGCAACTGGGGAAAGAAAGGCCGATGGATCTGCTTCCGAAGAGATTTTTTATTTAGAAACTGTGGGATAATTGGCTCTCCCTACACGGGGTGGCCCTGAATTAGAAGCAATTAGTAGTCAACTTAATAATCAATAATGACTTTCTGAGGTGCACCCTCCTGGTCCCCACCCACGTGGGCTTCCTGACACTGTCCCAACTAGGATCAGGCCTATAGACCTGGGCTTTGTCAGTGCCCATTTGACAGGAGGTCAGCAAGGCCACGGACTATCTGTTTGGTCTGTAGTCGCTCCTGGCACAGCCTGGGCAGGGGTCTTTGTTAAGACTTGTCGTGAGCTTCTAGAAGAGTAGGGCGCTGCCCAAGGTCACGCAGCTGTTCAGCAGCAGGCCAGAACTGACACACAGGTCCCTTCCAGCTTTTCCCTGTTTTTGTTTAAGGCTTTGAACTGGTTCAGCCTGGTTCTGTCAGGGTTGACCAAACAACATTAGGAAGGACCAGAATTTTTAAAATATTTGTGAATCGGAACTGTAACTAGAATAGAAAAAAGCGCAAGTCAGAGACCTGCTAGAAATTTAGTCGCTTTCAGAAAACAAGGCCAGCGTGTGTGCATTGCATCGCAGCCAATCTCTTGGCCAGCTGAGTTTAACACCACGGTGCCCTGCTCAGAGCAGGCAGCTGACTGTCCAGGTTTGAACCTGTTTCATTCCACGACTCTGACGGCGAACAAGTCTCCCACACCAGGCTTGAGAAAGGGCTCGCTATTCCTCATCAATGTCTGTGAGCCCAGGCCTTCGACATGTAGTATCTGCCATGTTGGTTAGTGTTCCAGATCCCCTAAATATTGAAAATTCTGTCTGATCTGGTTTCAGTTCATCAGCCATGTCTAAAGTTGAATGAGTGAAAGAGTTGTTCTTACTCTTCACCACGGAAGGGAACTGGCCAGAGCTGGGGTAGGAGAGGGGGATAAATGTTTTGAGGCAATGGCACATTCTGAGTTGAGGGGCTAGCAGCAGAGAGAGCCAGGCTGGTATATGCAGGGGCAGAGTGAGGGGCAAGTTCAAGGTCCTGAGTGTCTGGCTGAAGTGTTGGGGCCTGGGAGCCATGGAGGGTCCAATGCAGCCTGCTGTGCTCCTGCTGTGTTGTTCTCTGCAGCAGGCACTGCATACCAGCTGTAGGGCTTTGAAGAGGGCCTGGCAGCCTGGCACATCCCCCTGGCCAGGGGTCCAGTCAAAATTAGCTGTGTGTAGGCCACTTTCCCAGTACTAAGGCCAACAGATGGGGCATCTGAGGGTCACTGGTATCAGCTGCCCACCCACCTGACAACCCGGGAGACACAGGGCCTCCTAGGTGGGCTCAAGGGACATGAAGGAGGGTGTCAGGAGTGTTGGGCAGGGTACTGGCCTGTGTCCTCAAAGCTGAGCTTGGCCATTAGTCCCTACGTGGTCCTCGCCAGAGCCAGTGAATCCAGGTCTGGCCTTTAGCCCCTTCTTGACCAGGCCTGGTCCCTGCCTCATTCTAGGGGAACCCTCTCTCTCCCTCATCCTTGGCCTGTCTGTCCCCTGTCCCCGCCCCATGTCATACTTGTCCTCTCTCCTCTCAGCCTCTTCGTAATTCTCACTGGCTCTTTCTCTGGCTCAGGCCCTCTCTCACCGTGCCCCGTCTCCTTCAGGCTGAGGGTCTCTGGCCACCAGAGGTGCAGGTTACCAAGAGCTTGTAAACCTCAGGGCTTCAGTGGTGAATTGGGCCCGAAGCCAAGCCTTTGGCTGCGGAGAGCTGAGATGGCCAGGCCTGGTGCCTTCCCCTTCACCTCACATCCCTTAGCATGAGCTGACCCCTTCCCCAGGCCAGCAGTCAGTTAGTGCTGAACTCATCCCAGATCTGTCAATCCAGCCAGGCCAGGGTGCGGCCCCAGCACTGCCCTCAGCGAAAGGCAGCCTGGGCCATCTGTGTTCTGAGCAACACCTTTCCTTCTCTGGGCCTCAGTCTGTCCGTCTGCACAGTGACACCGTCTTGACCATCTGATCCCTCAAGTCTTGCCAGGCTAGTGGTCTCTCGGTGATGATTCTGGACAGCCCCCTGTCTCTCTAGGCCCAGTCTCCCTCTCTGAAGACCCACTGCGTGCTGACCTGGGTGACCTGGGTACCACACTGTGTCTGGCTCATAGTCAGCCCCTGGGAATGCTACTGTTGGCCTCTGTACCTTTTTAATGATCGAAGCTGAGATGGTGAGAAGGGTCGGAGGTCATACGATGGCGTTTATGTGGAAATATTTCGATTCAGGAGACATTCACCGGGGTTTAGGGAGCGAGCCAAGCCATCTTTGTGATCCAGACAGCCCCGGGCCTCTGGGCTAGTGGGTCCTGATTATGAGCCCAGGATCCAAACCTTCTTACCCACTGAGCCTCAGTTTCCTCATCTGGCAAATGGTATCTCAAGGTCCGAATGAGAGACTGTACCTGGAGCTTGGAACCACAGATAGCAACAGGGCCCTGACCAGAGAGAGGAGAGGAGCAAGTGGGGTGACCCGAGGGCTCAGGCCCATCAAATGGGGACAGCCACTCCTGCTCCTGCCCAGCGTGACAGGAGCCCCGCCTTCCCAAAGGAAGTAGGAAGCTAAGAAATGAGTGTGAAATTTCCCAGTGTTTGAAATACTGCTTATTTGTTAACGTCTGAGAATAGACCGTGTCCAAGGAGGCCATTGTGCGGTGACGTGGTGGATGTCAGACTGCTTCTGTCACCATGTGATCTCTGTCAGGTCCCTGAGGGGTGGCCAGGCAGGTCATGTGGAAACAGGCCTGCTTTCTACTGCCCACTGCCCACTGTCCCCCCACACACCAGGGGACACCTTCCTGGGCTTCTGTCTTCTGAGCCCAAGGACTGGCCACAAACAGGAACCAGGAAAGGAAAGGCCCTGTGTGCACAGTCACAGTGTCCCCAGGAAGGGTTGTGGGACAGCAGGGCTGTGTGGCCTCTATCGAGGGCTTTGTTCTCCCGTGGCCCTCAATGTCCTCAGCGGTACCAGAGGGGACCAAGGCGATGTGAGCCAGGGCATCCCCCCATCATGCCCTTCCTATTGGGCAGTGAGGACAGCTGGTGAAGATGCCAGATCAGAGACCAGGTTCAAGGGCAAGTCAGGGTGTGTCCACTGTCTGCAGCAGGTCTGAGACTCAGTTTCCTTATCAGGAAGCTTCCTGGTGTGGAGCCTCCCACGGTGCTTTGATGGGAGTTGCCCAGAGACAAAGCCTGCTTCTTTCTAGAGCTGCAGCTGGGAATGTGTCCCTCACATGAGCATTTCTTGAGTATTGGCTGTATATAGGACCCTGGTGATGAAGGGGGGGGGGGGTCCCAGGCTTCCCACATTCACATTCCAGGGCTCAGGGGGACACAGGTCTTCCAGGCAGTGTAATGGATGTTATACAGAAAATGATAGGGCCCTACATTTGGGAGCACGGGGCAGAGGAGGCATCATGGATGGCTTCCTGGAGAAGGCAATGTCCAGGTTGAGAGATAGTCAAGTGTTCAAGACAGCGTGGGACAGAGGAGGTGAAGGGGCTGCAGGTGGAGGAGGCAACATTTGCAAAGCTCTGGAGAGGAGAGGACAGATTCCTTATCTGCTCTGGCCTGGAGCCCATCAGTCATTAGCCAGTCACAAGGAATTATTTAAAGATGGGCCTGGGCTCTTGACCCAAGAAATGTCAAGATAAAAGGTGGTCAGGAAGAGAGAGAGGGGCCTGGGGCAACAGGAGCTGGGTCTCCAATGCCAATTCCATTGTCCCTGGGTTCCTGCTCTAGAGCTGATTCAATAGTTTCTTGATCACTCTGACCCTCAGTTTTCTCACCTGTCAAATGGGTATGATAGAATTTCAGCAGGGTGCCAGGTACATAGTCATAGTTCAGTTCAACAGATGTTAAACACTAGCAGTGAGCTTAATATTTAATCAATAATAGTAGTAGTTGTTGTTGTTGTTGTTGTTGTTGTTGTTATGTGTCGTCGAGTTGCTTGCGACTCATAGCGACACAAGGTCTCTATGATAGTACTATTAAAGTAATAATGTTGTTGTTGTTGATTGCCTTCGAGTCGAGCAGACTCATAGTGACCCTATGAACAAAAGACCTGAAGCCCCTCTGCAACTATTGACATTTATCAAAGTTCATAGAGTTTCCAGAGGCATGCTGTTTAGGAAGTGGATGCCACTCCTGCTCCCAAAAAAAGTAATAATATTACTTATTCAATGGTGTTTCTTACCCTAGGGGCCTGCTCCTAGCCAACTGGCATCCCCAGGAGCCCAGACCCACTGGGAGAAGTGCTAAGCCCTCCACATGCTGGTGGGTTTTTTCCCCAAAAAATAAGATAGTATGGCAATACATTCATCTGTCCTAAAATCAAAAGGAATGAAGTAAACAGCCAGTTTCAACCAAGTGGCCTCCCCCCACCCCGCTATTCTGCTCTTTGCTTCCTCCCTCACCCTCCACATTCACACGTAGACACTCCCAGGGACCGAAGCCCAGGCAGTGGATATCTCAGATAATTCCCTTGTTTTTACTCCCCCAGTGAAGCTGCAGTGAATAAATATGTTCATTCCGTCCTCACTGTGCCTGTTAAAAATGTGAGTCAACATTTGAATAAGAAATCTCTCTCCCAAATCCAGATTTTCAGCTTCTCTGGTATATCAGAAGAGATGGCCACTCTAGGCCCACATTTGGGCCCATGTAGGTCAGAGTGGTCCTGCCTTAAAAGGGGTGCTGTGTTGGTGGCCTCTACCCCGCTGGCCCACCTCCCTCTTCCCCTCACCTGCACGCCTCCTGAAGACATGGCAGCTTCAGGCCTCTCCGTCCCGGTTCCCGCTGACACCCTCACTTCTGACAGCAGCCAGGAAGTGATGTTCTAGGCATTATTTCCCCTCAGATTCCTGAGTCACCGCCGGGAGCCCTAGCCAGGGAGGACCAGGTCTGAGTTCCCAGGACTAAACACCGTTTGTAGCCTCTACCTCCAAATAATCACCCAGGAATAGGATAGGTGGGGCCTAAAGGTGTTAAGTTTTAAAAGAACAGATCATAAAAATCCCTTCTGTCCTGGGAGAAGCCAAAGAAGCCAGCGTTCTGCTCTCATCTGTCAAAGGATTCGAGCTCCCAGGGCCAGCTTCCTGGCACAGAGCCCTGTGCTCAGAGCAGCCGGAGCTTGGTTTAGCGTTCTACTATTGTCATCTTAAGGAGCCTTCGTGGTGCCATTGTGGTTAGAGACCTTGGCTGCTAAGCAGCAGGTTGGTAGTTCAAACCCACCCACCTGTTCCTCAGGAGAAAGATGAGACAGAGATTGAAATAAAGCACAGGAAACTGTAAGACAGTCTTTCTCTGTCACGTAGGATCCCTGTGAACAGGGAAGACCCAAGAATTGATACCTTTGAAGGGGAGGGTCAGCAAAGAATATTGACTGGACCGTGGCAGAACCGAGTGGCCTTAGAGGACGCGGAGCCAGGATGTCCCTTAGACGTGAGAGAGGTCAGGATTCTTCTCCATCCTTTATGTATCTTGTGCGGAGGGGCCGATTCCTGCCGGGGAAAAGGCATCTTGGAAAAGCGGCCGGTCAGCGAAGGAGAGGAGGAACCTCAGTGGACGGTGCATGATCAGGCAGATTGCATCTTAGCCGTAGAGTTGGTGGGAGTCGAACTCTGTGACCGTAGGCAAGTAGGTTTGGGTCTTGGGGTTACCATCTCAAAAATCTTAATAATGCAGAAATATTGAGGATAATAATGATTTTTTAACAAGGGCCCCACATTTTCATTTTCCTGTTGTTACTGGGCACTGCCATGGTGATTGTTAAATAAGAAAGTAGAACTGTCCCAAGGAGTCGTCTCAACAAAGCTGCAGAATTGACAAGAGCCTGTCTCCAGACCTTCTCCCTGAGGATGGCTGTACGAGTGGAAACCGCCATCCTTTTGGTTAACAGCCAAACTCTTACCCAATACACCCCCAGGGCTCTGTGCAAATTACACAACTAGTCCTGGTGTAGGACCTTGAACAGACATTGTCGCTTCTCTGGGCCTCAGTCGCATTGTCTGTGAAATGGGTGGATGGTGCTCTCTGCCTCGTGGGCTTGTAACTCAGCACGCTGTGGCTGTGAGCTCAGTCTGTGGGTTAGAGCCGTTGACCCCCCACAGACCTCTGACCACAGCCCGGTTGAGGAACCCAGTGCTGCACCAGTTCGGCCCCGCCTCCACCCCACCCGACACTCACCTCCCTCCTCCTCTCTCCACAGGCAAGCGCTTCCAGGAGTGGTGCTGTGTCGTCCTGTGCTTCAGCCTCATTGCCCACAACTTCGTCCACCTCCTGCTGCTGGCCCGCTGGGAGCACACACCCCTTGTCATGCTGGGTGTGGGTGAGTGCCCAGGGCCCTGCTGCCTGCCTCCGTTTCCCCAGGGGCTCACAGCCCTAGTTCATGTCTGTGCCAGTGAGATTGTATGTTCTCATGCATGGGTTCTTTGTCTCTCTCATGGGGTATCCCAACCATCAATAAGCCCTGTTGACCACTTTCAAAATCCACTCAGAATCTGACACTTTGCAGGCTCCTTGCTGCCCCCTCCTCGGTCCAGCCTAGTGGCAAGAAGCTGCATTGCAATCCCAGAGGTATGCAGTTTGAGTCCATCAGATGCTCTGCTGGAGAAGGAGGGACAATCTTCTCCTGTACCAGTCAGATCAAATTTGACAGTACACACACAAAGAAAAAATAATTCAGGCCAGCTAACTCTGTGTGTGTGTGTGTGCGCGCGCGCGCAGAGTGGCATGAGCAGGCAGGCACCTGGACCGTCAGGAAGGGAGTGAAGAAGTGACTCAGGCCCACGTCTCTAGCCTCTTTTATTATCCTTGGATTCTGCTAGCTTAGTGGTGAGGAGCTGTACTGCTTAGTCTGAAGGCACTTGGTTCAAATCCACCAACTGTTCCACGGGAGAAAGACGGGCAGTCTCCTTCTTTGTGCTTTACTGCCTCTGAAACCGACCAGAGGATCAGCTGTGAGTTGATTCCAACCCAGGGGTCCACAATAACAACAAAGCACTGCCTTTTAAGGGCAGGAATTTAAGCAGCTAACCCTGGCGCCTCATCTGGTGGTGGCTGTAAACAGACCCTCCAGAGCTGTGTCCAGGTCTCTCTCTAACCCTCTTGGCCACTTGGATCGCCTCCTTGGGCCATATCATTGTGTCTCTGACCCTCGTTCTCCTTGTCTGTAAAATGAGCGTCTTTGTGACCAGTTCTGGCGTTAGAGCAAGAGCTGGGTGATGAGTCCATGCCCAGCATGGAGTTGGGCCTCATGGCTTTTGGGTCAGTGACTGAGCAGAGGGGGAGGGGACAAGGCCTGCTAGGGCGCTGGCCAAGGCCAGGCCTTCAGCCTCAGTGGTCAGGTTAGTGGTGGTGGTTCTCTGAGCACCTACTATGTGCCAGGCCCCAGGTTCACAGTGGCGGCTCTCTGAGCACCTACTATGTGCCGGGCCCCATACTGGGCACTTTTAACTTCTCTTGACAATCAACTGAGAGAGTTCTGATTGCTGTCCCCTGAGAACTGAGTGGCTTTCCCAGTGGCCCACAGCTAGGCAGCAGAGAATCTGGGACCCCACATCTCCCCACCGTGAGGCTATCCAGCACAAGTGTTCCAAAAGACAGGGTGCCCTAGACAAATTGGCAGGGTTAACCCAGAGCTGTGCTGTGTGAGGGGTGCGTGTCCCAAGCAGGTCCTCACCTGCCTTCCCCAGATAAGCACCTGAGCTTCTTTCTTGTCTCTGGCCAGCTTACCTGAGCATACCTGAGCCACCGACTGTAGAATCAGTTCCCTGGTCCCACACCTTTGCCTCTGGGGGCTGATAAGAGCAGACAATTCCTGATAGTGCTATTTGCACAGGCCCTAATCGATTCAAGTAGCCACCCTGATTTGTGTGTGTGGTAACTGGCAGGTGAGGGCTCCGTGCCAACCTGCTGAGCCTGCCCGCCGGCCCTCACTGTCTCCTCAGAGGTTCCAGTGCCCTGGGCAGGCCCTTGGAACCAGGAAGGGCAGAGACTTGGAGCAATGCCCCGTTAATACACTACACACCTATGTGATGCAATGCTGGAAGCTGGCCCAAGATGAAGGTGGGAGGGAGGGCAGGAGCGAGTCAGGAAAGCTGTGGGAGAAGGGGGCGTTTGATCTGCGTGGAGACCTGGGGAGGTGAGGAAGGAAGCCATGGCAAGGGGCCTTGCCAGCCACAGACATGAGCAGCAAGTGTAAAGGCCCTGAGGCTGGAGTGGGTCAGCTCCATTTGAGGGACTAGAGAGGAGCCCGCATGGCTGGAGAAAATGGACCAAAGGAGAGAATGGTTGGTGGCCACTCAGGAAGGTGGGGGAGGGGGGTTAGGTCCTTGAGGGGACACCGTCTGGACTCGGGGTTCCACTGGTTCTGTTTGCCACATCAGCAGAAGCCTTGGGTGTCTGCTGAGGATGGAAAGGTGGGCAGAGGAGACGGTGAGATGTTGTCTAGTGCAGGATAATGTGCTTCCACGGTGGGTGTGGAGGTGAGAGAGCAGGGCACCGAGGTGAGACCACATTACAGAAATAGAGACTCGGGGCAGACTAGAGCGAGGGGATGGGTCGCACAAGAAACCCGAAATCCTCTCTGGAGTCTGGGAGGCGGGGAGAGACCTGGAAATCTGTAGGACATGGGGATGATGTTTGAAGCCCTGGGATTGGTGGGGTCAGCCAGGCTGTGAGCCTTGTTGGGGGAGCCACCCCAAGCCAAGAGGAGAATGTTTCCAACAAACTCGAGATCAACTAGAGACCGCCACAGAGCCGACCAATAAGATGAGGACAGGAAAGGGACCCCTGCACTTGGCCATATGAAAGTCATTAATAGTGACCTTGACAAGGACAGTGTTGTTATGAATGATAAAATGGCCAGCTAGGGGAGCCCTGAGCTGTTTATTCCACTTAAGGAAAGTGGAAGAAAAATTTGGGGCCTGAGGGCTGCATAGAGTGGGAGTGTTGCCACACAGAAGTACAAAGGGAAGGAATGAGACCAGCAGGGCCACAGGGCTACAAGTTGTGTCCAGCCTGGTCAAGTTTGAGAGTCTGGATTGGGTTCTGACTGGAAAGGCAGTAAAGGCAAGATTTGAACCCAAGACCCTTTGTGAGCAGAGCTTGTGGACTGTCCCTTCACAGTGAGCCACCCTGTCTCTACCCCAGGTCTGTGAGGTGGACAGGGACAGTGGAGTTCCCACTGGGTAGGGAAGTGGCAGCCCCAGAATCCGAGGACTGTCTCCAGGTTCCTTGTGAGTCCGGGCAGCCCAGAGTTCGTAATCCTACCTCTGCCCTGTCCTCATGTTCTGCCGGTCCCCCCACCCACTCAGTAGGAGACAGTGCCAGCCACCACCACAGAACCGGGACAAAGAATCTTCTGTCTGCCGCCTCTGCCACCCTTACCCCCATTAAAAAGATCTCAGGCAGCCGACCGGGGCCTGGAGACACTGTTCTAGAAACAGGCACCCGCAGTGGCCCAGGAATCAGAGGACACAGCCTCCAGGAGGGTGGGGGAGGGGCGCCGGCGCTCCTGAAATAATTCCTGCCAGCTGCCGAAGCTTATCCCTCCCTGCGCAGTAGACCCAGAAGGCCAGGCCCTGGTCACTTGACAGATGACAAGACTGAGGCTCAGAGAAGAAAATGCCACTTAAAGTGCTTGCAGCTGCCTGTGTCCCTGGGACCAGGCTAAATATGTGACCTCACAACCTCATTTTGTGAACTGGCTGTGGTTTAAATGAAATTCTGTTTGGTGCCTTTGAGCCCATTTCGACTCGTAGCAATGCCAGGTGACAGGGCAGGTCGTAATCTTTGTGGGGACACTGCCAGGTCTTCCCCAGAAGCCCACTGGGTGGGTTCCAACAGCTAACCATTGACATGACAGCTGCTGAGCTCTTAACCATTGCACCATCTTGAAAGAAAGCCTATGCAGGTGTATTTATTTGTCTTCTAATCCTTACCTGCCTTAAGGGGGAGGGCACTCCTCCTGGGTGAAGACTATCATTGTTGGGTTCCAGTCAGTTCCACCTCATATTTCCCCCGTGTGACAAGAACTGCCCCATCGCTTCCCTGGGACTGCTACAGTGGACTTAGCACAGTGAGAAATTGTGGCGACGACGCAGATTACCCAGGGTTTTGTTCTGTATACACAGCGTTCCTGAATCAGAGCCACTCCACCATACCTGACAAATGCTACAGTCTTTGCCAGGTCTTTCTTCCTCACAGCCTGTGAGTGTATTCAAATCCCCAACCTGTGGGTTCGCTGCCAAGCATTTCACCATTGCACCTCCAGGGCTCCTCTGGGGGAGATGAGTACGATTAATATCCCCATTTCCTAAATCTGAACATAAGGCTCAGCAACATTATTGTGAATGGCCACTCACCACTAGCCCTGACTTGTCCCTGTCCCTTTGTGACCTTGGGCAGTCCTAACCCTCAGAGTCTGAGGTTCCTCCTTCGAAAGCTGGCATGTGGTAAAAGCTATGGCTTTGGGAGATGAAATCAGAGAACACACTTCTTTAAAAACATGGACTTTATTTCTTAGGGCCAATTTAGATTTCCAGATAGATTGAGATCATATAGAACTTCTGAATACTTCCCTCTCTATTATTAACATTAACTGTAGAGTGTTCATAGAGCTCTGCTGGCCTGTTGATAAGGAGCTATGCTGCAATCCCAAGGGCACGCAGTTCAAATCCACCAGCTGCCATGCAGGAGAAAGATGGGCAGTCTCCTTCCATGTGATTAATCTGCCTCTGAAAACCTGCCAGAGAATCATGTATGGGTTGGTTCCGACTCAACGGTACACAACAACATAGGGAGCTTGGGCGGCATAATCCATAGGGTCTTGCACTGTTAATCCAAAGGCTGATCGCCTCTGGCAGTTCTAATCCGCTCGCCGCTCTGAGGGAGAAAGATGACCAGTCTCTCTTGGAGCTCATTCATGGTCTCAGAAACCTTCTAGCATCAGCTGTGAGTTGGTTCTGGCTCAAAAGGCAATTAGTTCGTATTTTGGTTCAAAAAAACTCAGTGCCACCAAGTCCATTCCAGTTCACAGCGACCTTGTCGGACAGAGTAGACCTGCCCCGTAGGGTTTCCAAAGCTGTAAGGTTTATGGAAGCATTTTGCCATGTTTTATTTCCAAGAAGCAGCTGGTGGATTGGACCCACAGACCTTTCAGGTAGCTGTTGGGCGCTTCAGCCCCCCACAACACTGCCAGTAGTACTCTTAACCTTTAATAGGCTACATTTGTTGCAATTAATAGAACAAGTTGCATTATTGTCATTAATATGTTACTAAGTACAGTCCTTACTTTAAGGAACCCTGAATAGCATAATGTACCAT